CACGTGGAGGAGCAGGCAGCAGGTTCTTGCCTTCAGGGGCAGTGCTTGCCTTTGGACTGGAGACTTCAGCAGCACCTTGTCAATGCTTCCTTTGCTGCTGATGTTTTTTTCTAGGGTTCGTTGTCCATAAAGGATGGATATGAATTGCTGAAAACGTGGAAGGATGAAAAGGAACAAAGAACTGGAAAGAGGAGGCAGGAGTCAGGGAACCTGGTTTTTCTAGCAGTCCTTCCCCAGCCATCACCACTCAGTGGTGACCTTGAGGTAATTTCCTAGTCCTCTGTAAAAAGGGGCCCGCAACAGCAATTCCGTCATAGGTTTGGTGTGCAGATTGGTGTATATAAAGCACTTAGTGCAGTCTCTGGTATACAGTAAGTCTTCAATAAGTAAAAGTTACTATTAGAAGAAAGCTAAGAGAATCCTCTTTGTCCAGACTAACAACATTTAGAGTTGCTTTAACAAATGACGTTTGGTGAAGGGCAATTTACTATGTTGTTAAAACCAATCTACTTTACCCAGAGAGATTCAGTGGACTGGCTACCTGAGATGACCATTTCTTTCTCCATCCTGTTATGCTAGGGAGTTCAGCCAGTCATCTTTAACTTAGAGCTCTCAGAAAGTTGAAGGCTCCTCTGTAGATGCGGGATGCACAGTTACTCCTGTTTAGCAAAGCCTTAAAAAAATAAATAGGTGACATCGGGTAAGCTATGGGAAACTGGAATGTTCAGGAAATAGGCCTCCTGATTATTTGTCAAAACCTGTTGGCCTCCTGATTATTTGTCAAAACCTGTTGGTCTAAAAGACTTTGTAGAAAAGGAACATCAACATGGGGTAGGGTGTGAAAAAAGAGATCCTTCCTATACATTGCTGATGGAGGTATACATTAATACAATTTTTCTGGAGAGCAATTTGGCAATATCCACCAAAGATCTTTGACCCAGCAATTTGTGTTAAACAAAGAACAAAAGTCTGAGCCTCAAAATTTAGCACCAGTATATTCCTTGATAAATTTATAATTTAAAAACCCTAAAAATCAGGACCTAAAGGAATAATAAGACCTTATGATACATACATATACATATAATGGTAGCTATGTAGCTACTAAATTTTACAGAAATACATTCGGAAATACTAAAAAGTTAAATATCTATTTATGTCATAACTGAAAAAAGATAAGCCAGTAAGTTAGTCAAGCTCCTCCAGCTGAAAGTAATAGGAAACCAAGATATGTCAGGGAGAAAAGATGGTGAAAACAGTACCGGGGGGAGGGGTAAAGGGTGAGTAGCAGGGCCTCATGGGGGGAATGGAAAGCTATCGAGATTTGCTTCACATTCTTTATTCTCCATCTCCTTGCATATCTGCTTCATTCTCCATTTTCATTGCAGACCAGCCTTCTTGGTGACTCCTTACTCATAGCAGAATATGTCCACCATATATGTTCCAATTCTGGAACAGTACAGTTCCAGACATACCTACATTCAGAATAAAAATTTGATGAGCCAGGCCTGAGTCCACTATGGCTAGATGACATCCAATACCAGTATGGTCTTCAGGGACACAAGGAAATGGAGCTTGTGAGAGCTAGGCAAACATGCCTGAAGAATCTTAGGAGGTAAGAGAAAATCTCAACTTTAGTATTAGGAAGTTGGCCGAGTGTTGTGGTTCATGCCTGTCATCCCAGCACTTTGGGAGGCTGAGGCAGAAGAACTGCTTGAGGCCAGGAGTTCAAGACCAGTCTAGGCAACAAACCAAGACCCCATCTCTACAAAAAATAGAAAACTTAGCCAGGTATGGTGGTGTGCACCTGTAGTCGCAACTACTCAGGACGCTGAGGCAGGAGAAGCACTTGAGCCCAGGAGTTTGGGGATGCAATGAACTGGGTTTGTGCTGCTGCCACTGCACTATAGCCTAGATGACACAGCGAGACCCTGTCTCAAAAAAAATAAAATAAAATATACACATGGGGAGTGGGGGTAGCTAAAAAAAAAAAGGTCAGGATTATCTTTTGGAGGGTGGGCCCCCTGTAGTACATACAGGCTTCGCTGCTAGGTAAGTACTGTAGGAACCTGTCAGCATCAGTGTACCAATGAGTGTTGTCATAAGAGGCCGTGTTCAGCTTCAGTGAATTTTTTTTTTAGAGATTCTTTCAACACATTTGCCCATTTCATGAAGAGTGGTTTACATCAACAACCTGACCACAACTGTGCTGAGTGTTCAGCAGTTTTTGACCAAAAGTGGCATGACTCCATGTCCCACCCTCCCTATTCGCCCCATCTTCCCCAAGCGACTTCTTTTTCGTTTCCTCTTATGAAAAAGTCCTCAAAAGGAACCATTTTGCCGATGTGGAAGAGGTGAAACAAAAAACAGCAGAAGCACTAAAAGACTTAAAAATCGACGAGTTCAAAAACTGTTTTGAGCAGTGGAAAAAGCATCTCGATAGGTATATTGCATCAAACAGAGAGTACTCTGAAGGTGACTGAAGTTTAAACATGTAAGAATAAATACACAATTTTTAAATAAATAAATGCCTTTTATGGGTCCTCTTCATATATATTTTATATTATACATATACATATATATGGAAGTTGTCTTCTCAGAAAAATTAATATGAAGATATAAACCAGATTATAACAGAAGTTATTCTTGGGTGTAAAATAATGAGCAATTTTAGTCATCTTCTTTGCTTATACGTTCTATAATTTATGCTGAAATGTATATTTTATAAATTTAAACAATTAATTTTTAAAACTCAACTATCAGGTCATTATGATATAATGCTAAATGAAGGGAAAATAGGATTTTAAATAATCCATATTGCTTATATTCCTTAACTCTATAAAATACATATGTATAGAAAAAGAATGGAAAAAAATACAAGATATTAGCAGATATATCTCTAGGTGATAGAATTAAGAATTTATTTTTATTTTCTCATTTGTCATTTTCTACACTTTAAATTTCTTTAACTGCTTTCCTACTAGGAAAAAAAGTGTAAGAGTGTATATGACCAGTGGGCTCCATTCTGTATAGGAGACTAGAATAATGATCACTAGATAAAAGACACAATTGTTGGTGCTCTTCCCCCAAAATAACCTGAAAAACACTACAAATTGCCAACAGTAGCAACTACCACAACCATGATTATCTTGAGAATCACTGGCCCACAAAATATTAAAAGAGTTGTCAAGGAATTTTAGGATTACATCGCTGTAAGTACTAAAATAACTAGAGCTTAGAAACAAAACATATGTGGTATGAGTCTATAAATTAGAACTGTTTTAATGTACAGAGGACAATTTTCACGGTAATCTTATGCAAGTACACACAAAATTACTAAATAGGAGATTAGTTATTGTCTGTCCTTACTAGAGAAAAGAAGAAATGGGTTTTAGTGTTTGAGGGTTTTAGCTATACCAATAGCCATGACAAGCCCAGACAGAAATGAGCTGAAAAATAAACTAGGATTTATTTTTTGGATAAATAGAATTTTTTGTTTGGAATAAACACACAACTTAGCACTCACTGCACTGCCACATGGTGGTTCCCATGTACCCTTGCCATTTAAAACCACGGATGGCATAATGAAAATTCTACAAGTTGAAGGCTGTCTCACCCAAACCACAAAGTTAAACTATGACTATACAGCCCACAGGAAGGGTAAGAAACTAGAGGACAGTCTTTCCCTGTTTTCCTAGGCTGTTCAGATTAGAGCTATCTGCCTATACAGGATAGATTAGTGGCAATGCCTAGCTTAGAAAGTTTCCATAGATTTTTTTTTCTATCTCTCTGTATACTTGATAAAGCCCTAAAATAAGGTTTAAAAATACCCACTAGTACTACAAGCACACTGTTTTATAAAACGTGCCTAAAATTCTACGGGAAATACTTCACTTTTCATAATACTTAACCTTTGAGATATTATTTTTAGTTTAATAAAACACATCTGTTCTAAAACATTAAGTAAATTTATACTCATGTACTTAAAATCTATCACAGTTAAGGTGCTTTCTATTTTTAACCATTCTCCATTATTTTTAAATTAACCACTTTTATTTCACCTCTAAATAGGCAAGTTTCTCAAAACATTTTTCTTAAGGAAAAAATGAAAGAAGACATAGTGAAATGGTGTAAGACAGCCATGAATTATAATTCTAAGCTATACATAAGCAGGAAAAATGCCCAAAATGTAACAAATTCTGTATATAAATAGCTATGCTAAACACAGATTTTTACCAATAAAGATACAGAAGTAGATGTTAACATCAGTGTTTGCAGAAAAAGATATAGCAACGAGTAAAAAGCATTATGCTTTTACAATGATTTACAGAAACAACTAATAATGCTAGGGTAACATAAATCCCCTTAAAATGTAAAACATACATTATCTCAACATGAATTACAGAATACCTTCCTAGTAAATTAGGTGTAAAAGTTCAAACTCACTTTTTAGATAACATCCAGAAAATAAAAAATACATTCCTATTTTACGTAACATATATTTCTCAGAGTAAGATTCGTCATGAACACTTTAGATTATACTTTTACATCTTTCTTTAGCTAATCAAATGAAAAATCCAGTAATACACAAATAGCTACTTTCATTGGTACAAAAAGTAACAACAGTTCGGTGAAACCAATACAATACTAGTACAGAGGCACCCACTTTTAGCCCACAATGAAAAATCTAAGCCATGAAACAGGTTCTCCATTTTGAATCTAATTTCTAGATAGTTTGTATTTTTACCTTAAAGTGGTCAAAATATTTAATATGGGTGAAATTCATTTTCCGCTACCCAGAAAGATCTAATGCAGCAGGAGAATGGTCATTTTATGTTGCTGAGAGTTGTTAACTAAGTCTGTTATATTATTTATTTTGTTAACCATGTACAAAACTACACACAAAGTTTAGAATCTCAAATGTCAAATTTCTACAGACCATAAACTCGCAACATAATTTCTGCCTCTGAATTACTAAAATAGCATTTAAAATTACACAAACATCCAGTAAACAGCATTTTATTTTATGACACTCTGTGTTAATACAATAAATATACAAAACTTCCAGCCCACTGAAAACATGCAACATTAGGGGGCAGATGGAGGGCATTTATATAGAACCATGACAGTCACCATGATGGCAGCGCAATATTACTGACAAAATATACAAACATCCCTAGATAAATAATCCACCTACCAAATTACAAATCACTGAGCAATGATTTTCCAGTGTCCAAACTTTAGTTTGAAATGAAATAGCTACAATTTAACATTGCAAACTGAAAAGTGACACAGATGACAACTATGTGAGGACCATTTCATGGCTGTGATTTCATGATTGTGATTTTAGTATTAAATATAAAAGACTAACAAATGCCAATCTTTTGCTGAGTGAAAATGTAACTATTTACTGATTATTGTTAAAAGAATAGTGACTATAAGAATTTAAAGCTCCCTTCATACCTGATCAAACTGTAAGCATTTCCATTTTCATGTACATTTATGTTTTTAGAAAACATAATTTTCTCAAACTTGTATTAACCTAAATAAATGAATTTTAAAATATTTCCCATTCACACAAAAAAGATACTGTGGGTTGTACTTGTTCTATCAAATTCTTTCTTCTTCTCTCAAAAAGTATTTCAGTATTTTTTAAGTCTCTAATATAGCTTTTGTTTGGAGTTTAAAGAAAAACAAAAACGGACTTGGGATAAAAGTTAATGGTGACTATAAGTGCTCTTATATTTTGTGGTTAATGTTTTGAATGTGTGTAAAACTCACACTCAATAAACCACACTGACTAAAAAGATGCTCAGTGAGACTCCAGGTCCTGAAAAACTTCAGCTGGCTTGGTTGAGAATACAGGTAGAGTTTATCACTGATCAGAAGTATTGACGAAAACAGCATTAAATGCAAACTTTGAAGAACAAAAGAAATACTTCCAAGTATATTTAACTTCAATAAAGTCCCAAATAAATTAAATGTAAATAAACACCATCTGGATGGATCCGTGGCAAAGCCTCTTCATAAATAGTGAGAAATTGGCACCCACCCTCAGTATGAAACTTCTTAACTCCAGATTTGGGGAGAATGAAAGTGATTTAACCATTTCTGCCCAACGATTTTTTTTTTTAAAAGAAATGAAAGACTCAAAATCTCAAATAATATAATCCTTTCTTAAAATCAAGTTGAATGATCATACCTATCATTCTACAATCTTAAATTAGCTAAAGACTTTCAAAACACAGTAGCATGAATTACAAATGTCATTTAATCAGCACTAAAATTGATTCAAAGTTTGAACCCAAGTAGACTATATGAATGAAGTTCTGTGCTGCACAGTAACTATTTTAATGCTATTATCTTCATAATTAATGTGTTTGTATTTGTATTTTCTCTCTTGGTGCAAATTAAAGGTTTTAGTTTTTCTACTGCTAAAAATCTTAGATGTATTCAGTCTGTCTCAAAAAGTGAAAGACAGGTGCATTAGAGGTTCAAGTATATGAAAAGTGCCAAGATCTTTTTATTTTTAATGCCACTACAGATGAGAGCTAAAAGAAAAATCCCTTAAATACTGTACTTTCTTTTTAGACAAGAGTTAGGCTAGACTTTAATACCTGTTAAAAATTACACACACATATTCCCAAAAAGAGCTGCCAAACACAATCTCAGTTCAATTAAAAAGAGTAACCATAAGAATATACCAAAATTTCCATACAGTAAAATTTTACTATATGAATACTGAAAATAAAAAAATAAATAAAAGGAATTATTACCACTACATTCTATTGCATTGATTAATTACCTCCTCTTTTGGATAATGTACTGCATATTATATTAAATTATCGTATTGTAACTCAAAAAATGTTTATTTAAAAGAAACTATTACAGAAAATCACTTTTATGATTCCATTAACCCCTGTATCCTACAAACATATGCAGTACAGAACCCAAAATACGAATTATTTTAATTTAAGAAAGGTGGTACCCATGCAAAATCAGAGATTGTTATCAAATTATCAACTACTCTAAAAAAAGAAAATAAGATAAAATTTACATTATCTACTACAAAATGCACACAGGCTTTTCACTGGTGACTGAAACTGCTAAAAAGCAAGCCAATTTAAAAATCCTTAAGTCTCTGCTGGCCTATTTCTTTCAATATAAATAGGGGAAAGGAATGAAACATAGCTGTACTGTTTCAATGTGCAATTCTTATTTCTAAAGATTCTTGAAAGAACTACTGCAGTTAGTATTAAATGCATTATTAATCATAAGTACCATATTAATTTCAGTGTGTCACCACTGAAATAAGTTGCTGAACATCATCCCCCAAAAAATATGGAGAGTATTTAATTAGCATGTAATATTTTTTCTGCTAGGGGCACTGAAATATTAAGAAACAATTAGGTAAAGTAAATAAGACAAGGAAGTTTTTCTGGTTTTAGCTCATGCACAAGTGAACAGGAAATATCCATGCTGTGTGTACTGTGTATTTTGAACATAAAAATATTTGTAGAATACAGTAACTGGAGAAAAAAGTACAGTCAAAAGGTAACAGGTATTGTTTGAAGATTCTCTAAATTTGATTACCCTTGAAAGCATTCTGAGCTGCACTAGTTGCTGCAGTCGAAGCTGCGTTTGCAGCTGCGGTCTGGACAGTTTTGTTGGACATCACACCTGTTGCAAATTCTTGTTGGGCCTTTTCAAAACTAGCACCTGTTGTGCGATATAGTCCATGTACCTACGGAAGCACAAAAAGTGGGAGAAGTAAGTAGCAATTACACATTCATCTCCAGCAACTCTTCAATTAATCTCAACACTGCACAGACATAAAAGGACTAGACTTAGTCACTGCTAAGATCTAGAACATGAGTCACCATATTGGCACACAATATTGTATTCAAAAATTTTCTTAATATCTTTTAAGAATATCAAAGATTGTCTTAAAAGATTTTTCTTTTTTTCCCCAAGCAGAAGAGATAATTATGCTAATTCAAACCAAAAATAATTTAAAGAACAAATTTTTAACCAACTGCAAAAAGGTGTATTTTCCTCTGCATCCAATTCATCAGGTAAGATATCACAGCATCACAGTAGAATGGTTTAAACATAATAACAAGAGACAATCTGGCTTTAATACATTAATTTACTAGCCCAAACAATTCAAAGAGAACAATATTTTATCTATTTCCATTTTGGCTATACCTACACCACTGACTCTATTATAATTAAATGATATCATGTTATCATTTAATGTACCAAGCACTACTTATATCTTTCAACATACTGCTGCTATCCACTCTGGATACAATTTAGCTTTTTGTGTAAGTCCAATCCTATAGAATGTACAAAGAGATGCTTCTAGGAACTCTCTCCAGATGGACTCATCAGGAAATCTTGAGGTTTAATTTCAGGAACAGAATTCAAAATTTTTCTATCAGCATATTTTAATAATTAAACAATGAGCCCATAACTAACAGCAGGTACCTGATTTAACACAAATTTGGAAACGGAAGTAATAAAATAAATTAGAACAAGCTTTTATCTATTATGTGCCCATGAACTTGGTGGGAGAGTAGGGAGATAGGTGACAGGGAGTCACTGTGAGGGATCCAACTTAGAGACTTGATTGAAATGTAACCAAGGCAGGATTTGGAAGGGGGGCAGTGCATCCGAGTCGATCTTTTCCCAAACCTGAATAAGAACTAGTAACTGTAGAGTGAGAAAAAGCTGAACAAGTCAAGACTGGACTCTGGGAAGTGGTTTCAAGAAGACAGAGCATAGAGAGGCTACGCTGGTTTAGGGGGAAGGAAGATAATGAGTTCTAAATATTATTCATCCACTCTACAAATGTCTACTGAATATCTCCCACAGCAGGCAGGTGAAGATTTAGTTTGAAGTTCAGGAGAGGAAGGGGCTAAAGACATAGACTCGAAAACCACTGGAATATGTTACGGACTGAATGTCTGTGCTCCCACCCCAAGAAAATCTTATGTTAAAATGCTAACCCCCAAAGTGATGGTATTAGAAGTATGTGTGTAGGGGGGGTCTTTGAGAGGTGATTAAGTCATGAAGGTAAAGCTCTTATGAGACCCCAGGGCCTAGCACAGTGGCACATGCCTATAGTTTCAACTATTTGGGAGGTTGAGGCAGGGAGATCTCTTAAGGCCAGGAGTGTGAAGCCGCAGTGGACTATGATCACACTAATGAATAGTCACTGCACTCCAGCCTGGATAATACAGTCACTAAAAATAAAAAGAGACACTAGAGAACTTTCTCATCCCTTTCGCAACATGAGGATACAGCAGCGGTCGATGAACCAAGAAACTGGCCCCCACCAGACACCAAATTTGTCAATGCCTTATCTTGGACTTCCCAGCTTCCAGAACTGTGAGAAATAAATATTTGTTGTTTAGGCCACCAAATCCACAGTATTTCTGTTATAGCAGCCCAAAGGGATTAAGACAACATATAAATGAAAAGTAGCTGAAACCCTGGCATACATGAAATTGTATACGCAGAACACATAGAAACATAGAGAAGAAAGTCAAGTACAGAAATCTACTGAGGCACCAATATTTAAGAGGCACCCACAACAAGAAGGAGAAGAATGGTAGTAACCAGGGGCTTCTCACTGATGCCAAGAGATAAAATCATGCGAAGGTATGGAAAGCTGTTAGGACACAAACTAAAAATAACCCAGATAGCCTAGAGTGCTAATACAGTGGTAGAAAGCAATGGCCACCCTAAAGTGGATCACAGTGGAAAATGGTAACGAAGAAAAAGAGGACATTGACAAGTGCATCTACTGGTTAACCATAAGCTTCTTTCCCTCTACTACCTTAGCACTATTATAAGTCTGGAAGTAACTATTTTTATCCTCTTTTCAAATCAAGTTTTCAATGGAAAATTAAAGATACAAATAAATTACCACTCACAGTGAGCTTAAAATGACTGGATTCTAGGCGAGGAAGGGTATTACAGAAATCCAATAAACCTTTTTTCACTTACTAGACCCAGTCACAGTGCAAGGCAAGACAAGTTCCTTTGTCCATCTCTTCCCCTCTTCTCCCAAGTTTGGGGGCACGTAATAAATAAATGTCAGTTCCATTATTTCCTTTTTCAAACTTGGATTTTTTTTTTTAAGTTGGAGTCTCACTCTGTTGCCTAGACTGGAGTGCAGAGGCACGCTCCCGGCCACCACAGCCTCAACCTGCTGGGCTCTGGTGATCCATCTGTCTCTGCCTTCCAAGCAGCCGGAACTACAGGCATGCACTATATCACCCCTGGCTAATTTTTGATTTATTGTAGAGACAAGGTCTCGCCAAGTTGCCCAGGTGGGTCTCGAATCCGCGAGCTCAGGCAATCCACTCGCCTCGGCCTCCCACAGTGCTGGGATTACAGGCTGAGCTCCAAACTTGGATTAAATTGAGTGATTGATGCTGTGTGTTCACAGGCTTCATAGTTTACTTAAAATGTACCCAGTCCCACAAAGCAGAGGTAAAATAAGGGTAGGAACAGCACCATCTCAACAGTTCATCTCTCCATGAACCCACAGAGCCACCTAGAGGGAAAAGACCACATGTGTACTCAGGGCACAATGATCAAATACTGCATTAAATCCACTATTTCCAAGTGAAAAGGACAGGTTCTTGACTTCAGGGTCCCGTGAGAGATAGGCGATCATGAGGATTACCATTTCAAGAAGCTGATCACTTCCCTCCTACAGTTAAGATGAACACCTAGTGATAATTCATACTACTTATGAAATTGGGACAAGGTTTTCACATCAAGTACTACCATTTAAAAAAAATTTAACAACTTAAATACTTGCTGTCTCATAAGCAGTCTATTTAAGATAATTGCATTATTCCTAAAATAATATTTGGCCCTAGGAATATTACAGAAACAGCACTAGATATAGTATTACTTTCTAGCTGACCAGTCACCACTCAGAACCTTAAATTTACCTTGCATAAAATCTGAATATTTGTTACCCTATCTGCTTCTCAGAGTTTTCCTACGAATCTAATCAGAATGCATGTAAATGGGTTACACTGATATAAATTAAAATTAATTGTTAAGTATCTGCAGAATACTTAATTAATTTTAAGTCACAGCCAAAATGCAGATACAACTCCAGAAGAGAATCCTGCTTCCTAATATCTTCAGAAATACTACATGTTGTGGTGATATATGACACAGAACTGTATACCTTGGAAACTAAAGAACCATAGCATTTTATTTAAAATAATCCAAATGTATGTTTCCACTAAAGCATACAGAATACCATATCTCAGGCCAGAAGTAGTAGTGTATGCCTATAATCCCAGCACTTTGAGAGGCTGAGACGGGAGGGCTACTTGAGCCCAGGGGTTAGAGACCAGTGTGTGCAACACAGAGAGACTTTGTTTCTGCAAAAAAATTTTTTTAAATAGCCAAATGTGGTGGCGTGTGCTTGTACTCCCAGCTACTCGGGAGGCTGAGGCAAAAGGATCAGCTGAGTTCAGGAGGTAGAGGCTTCAGTGAGCCATGATTGTGCCACTGTACTCCAGCCTGGACAACAGAGTGACACCCTGACTCAAAAATAAAAAAATAAATAGAATATCATCTCACGAAATCATGCCTTTATCAATACAAGATTTCTGTCATACCACTTATTTTTTGAGTCAGAGTCTCACTCTGTTACCCAGGCTGGAGGGCACAGGCACATTCCCGGCCACCACAGTGTTGACCTGCTGGGCTCAAGCAATCCTTCCACCTCAGCAAGTAGCTAGAACTACAGGCACGTACCACCATGCCTGATTAATTTTTTGACTTATTGCAGAGATGAGATCTAGCCAAATTGCCTGGGCTGGTCTCAAACCTATGGGTTCAGGCAATCCTCTCACCTCAGCTTCCCAAAGAGTGGGGATTATAGGCGTGAGTCACTGCGCCCAGCCCCAAAATTATTTTAAACTTTTATAAAAGCTGGAAAAATAAGCCGGGTTCGATGGCTCAGCCTGTAACCCCGCGCTTTGTAAGGCTGAGGTGAGTGGATTGCCTGAGCCTGCAGGTTTGAGACCCGCCTGGGCAACTTGGCAAGACCTCATCTCTATAATAAATCAAAAAATTAGCCAGGTGTGGGAGCACGCACCTGTAGTTCCAGCTACTTGGAAGGCTGAGGCGGAAGGATCGCCGGAGCCCAGCAGGTCGAGGCTGTGTGCACTACAGTCTGGGTGACAGAGTGAGACTCCAATGCCAAAAAAAAAAAAAGCAAAAAAAAAACTGGAAAAATAAAAACAAATTTGTTTTTAAAAAATATTTTTCATATTGTTTTGAGTTTAAAACTCAAGGACCTCTAAGCCTACTTTTTCCCATTAGACATTTCCTAGAAATCCTCTCTGAACCCTTCTGGCCATAATCTGGGTCAGACATTCCTCCATAATCCCAGGTTCATCCTGTTGAAATTTCATACATCCTTCAAAGATTATCCCCAATACTGCTCTGTCCCCTTTTCTATGCCTGAACTAGCTCTCTCTGTTGTGAACACCTCTAAAACTTGCAACATCTTTTGGGGCATGTATATTGTGCTTCTCTTTTGCAGGGTTTATGTCCATGTCTTGGCAAGAGCTAATTCTACTCATTACTATACCCCCTAAAAGACACAAGCTAAGTAACTTGCTTGGAAGCCACTGAATAATTAATTATTTGCCTATCTGCCAGGGATAAAATGGCCCCAAACTGTTCTCACTAATAATA